TGATAAATGGATGGACATTCTAGTAAGGCATTATTTGGCATAATGTGGTGGAAATTTCCTAAGTAGAGTAATACAAAAGTACAATAGTCTGTTTGGTGAGGTGGTAAAATATCCCTCTCTTTGAAAGTCTTTGAGAATTGGATGACCACTTGCCAGAGATGTGGTAGAAGAAATTCCTGCTCATGTATGTGATCACCTTATATGATCTCTGAAGTTCTTACTCAGATTCTGTGATTCTATATAATCGTAAATGTTCAGCCTCAGAGTTGGAGCCAAGATGGTCCAACGAGCTCCCCCTCTACACACACAAACCTGTGCCTCATCCAAAGAGCACACCAGACCAAATCTTGATGGTGAAATCCAAGAAAAGTGACAATGAATCATTTTTTCTGATCTAGATCAGTGAAGGGAGATGGAGAGGTCTGTAGACACTGAAGATGGGGTCTAGCCAGGAATTTGGGGCCACAGAGCACTCCAACACCTACGGAGAGTCAAAAGGGGGCCCTATATGCATGGAATGATGAGAATAGGGAGCATATGACAACTTTGTCAACCATTACCCAGTTTCAGATACCAGATCCAGGCTGGACTGAAGAGGAGTCCTATATCCTGGAGTGGCCTTCTGGGAGAGGGAGCACTGCAGTCCGTAGGCAAGTGAAGTAGCAGTGTTTCTCTGACCCTCGAAGCAAAGCAGGTTGTCAGTTTCAGCTTCTAGCCCAATGAGAAGCCTTCAGGGGAATAACCAGGACAGGAATCCTTGTAGTTCAGTCACTCTAAACCAGCAGTGCTTTCTAGCTGGTTGGCAGAGGCTAAGTCTAGTGGCATTTTCTATTGCTCAGACCCAAACCCAGGTCAGAAACTGGCAGAGCAGAAATCAGACTTTGCACTGAACCAGACCTTTTTGAGAGCACTAAAATCTTACAGGTTCCCAGGTTGAGCTGTCCCTAAGATCCTGGAATAGCACATTTGATATCACAAGAAAGCAGCGACAGGACCGGCTCAGCCTTTCCTCTAGAAGTGTGTGTAGGCCAGTCTTAACATCAAGTTCAAAGTCAAGAAGTAGACTGGAAAAATGAGCAAACAAAAATCCCACCATAAAGAACTATCTTGAATGACACTCAAAACACAAATCCAGAAAAGAATAACTAAAACATCTGCAAGCAAAGCCTGAAAGTAAAACACAGCTTGAGCACAATTTCAACTAGAATTCCTGAAAGAGAATAAGTAAAGACGGATTTTTAAAAAAGAGCTTAAAATATTTTGATAAATGAAGTAAGAGTGCTTGAGGAGAAAAAATGGATAGGAATTGAAAGCTTATAAAAGAACGAATTGAAAAGGAAATAAATAACTTGGCATAAGACTTACAAAACTTTGCCCAAGGAAGGAACTCCTTGAAAATTAGAATTTGCCAAATAGAAGCCAATGACCCCATGAGACAATAAGAACCTTTAAAACAAAGTCAAAAGATTTAAAAGAAAATATGTCTCGTAGCAAAAACAGCTGATCTGGAAAACAAATAGAAAACAAAAAAAAATTTAAGAATCATTGCACCACCTGAAAACCATGAACAAAAAAAAATCCTAGACATCATATTTTAAGAATCTTTAAAGAATACTGCCCTGATCTCTTTGAACTAAAGGGCAGGGTGGAAGTAGAATGAATATACTTATCACTTCCTTAAAGAAACCCCCAAATGAAAACTCTGAGGAACATTATAGCCAAAATCAGGGCTTCCAAAGGAAAAATACTGCAAGTAACCTGAAAGAATTCAAATAACAAAGTGCCACAGTCAGGATCACACATAATCTAACAGCCAACACTGCAAAGGAATAGAGATCTTAGAATATAGATTGGATATTCCAGAAGGCAAAGGATACAGGCTTACAACTAAGAATAACTTACCAGCAAAACTGAGTACAATCCTACAGGAGCAAAACTGAACCTGAATGAAATAAAGGATTTCTGAGCTTTCCTGCTGAAAAGACCAGAACTGAGTAGACATGCATACAAATACAAGAGTCGAGAGAAGCATAAAAAAGAGTAAACATGAGCAAGCAGTCATGAGGCATTAACCAAAGTTAAATTTTTTTTATATTTTATATGGGGAGATGATACACATTTCCCTTCAGAACTATGTCATCATCAGGGGACATAGAAAGAAAGTCTATTTAGACAAGACTGAGGAATTAGTGAACCCAAGTTCAAATTCCATCTCCAAAACTTGTTAACTGTATAATCACATAAAATAAAATGCTGTTTGAAATGTTTAAATAAAATATCAATAATAGCTGACATTTATCTGGTGCTTTCAGGTTTGCAAAACACTTCACATAACACAACGCTGTTGGGTAGGTAGTAGTAATACAGGAATTATTATTCTCATTTTACACATGAGGAAACTAAGGCTTAGGTATGTTAAGTGACTTGTCCCATAGCCACTGGGAGCAAGGGAGTTGGAATTTGACTTCTTTACTTCAACTCCAATAATCCATCCACTTATGCAATGCCATTTCCAGTAACAACGTAGTTGGTACAGAGTGTGTATTTTCTTTGTTTCCCTGGTGCTTAGCACAGTGACTGGCAGATGGCAGGTAATTAATAGATGCTTGTTGGCTTGACTTATTAGTCCATTAACAGAAAGAGATAAATCTGAACAAATAAATTCTGTGATCTTGTTTTCCGTTAAATCAATGATATATGCTCAAGACCTACTACTTCACTTTATTTTTTCCTGCCTTCCCCTCAGCCACATCTACTTTCCCCAGACCAATTTATTCAGCCCCGTTTTTCACTTGTGTCATTACTGATTCTGAACCTTCTCCCAAGCTATGTTTCAGTGCTTCTGAGGCCCTCAAAAACTCATTCCCATTAGTCAAGATACTCCTGAAATTCCATCCATTCCAGGATACATTCCAGTTAGGACAGTGCCTTCGCATGGCAAGCTCAAATGTTTGTTGAGTTACATTGTACTGACAAATTGAAAAAGTGATAGTAATTTCCCTTGTTAAGTAGTTCTAGTTGCTTTTCTTCAACAAATTTACCATATTACCCTTTTGCTTTTATTTCATGTAAATAAAATATGTTGGCTACATTTCTGTATATGAAGTATATCAACTTCATATCCATCCTTTTTCCCGTCTTAGCCCCTGATTTATGACATCCTCCCCAGTCTGCTCATTATCTTTTGCACAGAGCGTGCCTATTCTTAATTTGTTTTCTTGCTGCTACTTCTTGCCATGCATTTCTTGGTCCCCTTATCTAAAGCCTGCTTAATAACGATGGGTAGCATTGTAAGGTTTTTCAAAGTGCTTTACATATATTATCTCACCTCTTCACAACCGCCCTGGAAGGTAGGTACTATAGCGATTTCCAGTTTTACAGATGGGAAAACTGAGGCTGACTAGAAGTTAAGTGACTTGCCCAGGGTCTCACACAGCTAGTAAGTGTCTGAGGCCAGGTTTGAGCTCAGGTCTGATAAACAGGTAAAGTGCTCTGTGCACTATTGTGTCACCTACCTGCATCTTCTCCTTCACGGTCCAGCTCAAGTCTAAACTTGATAAAACTTTTCCTACCTATTCCAACCCACACCGATCTCTATCATAGTGAAAAGAGTACTGACTGTAGAATCAGTAGATATGGTGGTATCTCTGCCATCTACTAGTGATCTTGGGCAAATTGGTGTACTTTTCTGGGCCTCAGTTTTCTTATCTGTAAAATGAGAGCATAGGACTAGATCAGAGTCAAACTTGGAGTGCACCCCAACCAGATTAAAATATAAATGGAAATATTTAACCAAATAAAAATGCAATACAACATAGGTGATGTTAATTTGTGGTTTTCTAAGTCAGTATGAGGTCCACTTGGGATCATTTCTATTTGAATTTGACCCTACTGTACTAGTTGACCTTTAAGGTCCCTTCCAATTCTAGATCTGAGATCTTGTGAGCCTGTATTCTACTGGTTTTATTATCTGACCTCTTCCATTTGGTGCTTTTTCCCTCAAATTATTTCATGTGTGTTATTTCTGTCTCTTTAGTTAATTATAACTTCTTTCAGGGCAGAAATCATGTCTTATACTTATTCTCAGTGCCCCAGAGTTCCTGGATACATAATTGGTATCCAGTATGTATTTGTTGGTATAATTACTATCTGACTTAAAATCTGTGGTTCATACTTATTTGTTTTTAAGTTTTAAATTTTTAGAGCAATGTGTTTGTTTTGCTTTTGTTTATGTAGCATATTGCGTAACATCACATTTGAAGGCTTTTTCTAAGGATGGTCATAGGCCTAGAAAGGATCATTCATTGCTAGCTCTGTGCTACCTGTAATTATTCCAATTAGCTGGGAATTAATACTAAATTCAAATTTAAAATGAAGCCCCAGTAGCATTTTGAAGGAAGATGTCAAGAAGTAAAAAGTATTTTTTAATTAAGGGAAAATATATGCTTAAGTGAAAAGGTGAGAATAATTCATTAGATTTTTAAGATTCTGTAGGTGAGTATACCTACACCTGTCTTCAGTTTAGACCCTACACACTTACTAGAAAAGTAATCTTATGGAATCAGGGCTATTCTGGCTATTAAACTACCATCTTATTTAAGCTGAAAGGAAAGTTGTTTTTATTAACTAAATTATAGTAGCTTTTAAAGTATCATTATAGAATTTTGATGCATGTTTTAAGTAGGTGGATTTTGAAACACAAACATAAAACAATAACCTTTTAACCCTGTGGTAATAAAGTATTTTCCCAAATGTGCAGCAGAATTTGTAACCTCTCAAACTTTTCCTCCATTGTCAGTGTGCCCTTATAATTTAAACATATATCTAATTTCTAATTACATAGGAAGTATTAACGTGCAGTTAATAGAAACCTGAAAAATACACAAATACATTTTTAAAGCTTACCATATGAAGAAGTGATATAATTTTGTCTAGAAGGTAGATAATTTGAACTTTGGTTTCCCTAATATAATCTTTTTTCTTTTGCTTTGTTTCTTTAGTTTGTTTTCTTTGCTATCTAAAAAGCACAACAAAGTTCTAGAACAAGCCACACAGTCCCTGAGAGGTTCCCTGAGTTCTGATGATGTTCCTCTGCCAGATTATGTAAGTATTTACCTTACTGTGTTAAATTATTTTCATTTAAACGTCAAACTAACAAATGGCAACATCCCTTTTCCTCTAAAAAAATGTTTGAAATTGTGATGACCCAGCAACCACCAATAGCCAAATAAAGGAACTTCTAAGGAATGATATCATGTCTGAAATTGAAGAAAAAAAAGTGAAAAATGCATGTACAAATGGCGAGGGGGAAAAACCCAACACCACCCAACAACCCTAAACCAACAACACTTCATAACTAGGAACCTTCTGGGGCATTCAGTAAGTTCATAGTTTTCAAATGACATTGTTAGAAAAATACATGACTTTCATAGGTTTCACAGGGTTATGAGCTTAGAGAATGTCTTCTGTCCAACCCCTTCATTTGAAAGTTGAGAATACTGAGGCCTTGGTATGTTACTAGGTAGCACATGATATCTCTGGCTCATATTTCTTTGCTTTTAAGTTATCAGTTTCTGTAGCAATATGTCTGTTTTGCTTTTTTTTTTTTAATGTAGCATCTAGCTTAGCATTACATATAAAGGCTTTTTATGAGGATAGTAAAAGACCTAAAAAGGATCATTCATTGCCAGCTCTGTGCCACCTGTAATGATTACAAAACATCTATTAAACATACTCTTTTTTGTATCATGCCACAGAAATTAAAACTTGCAGCAGGCCAAAATTCACGTTTCCTGTGTACCTTTGGACCTTTTTTGTCATTGTTACTGTTTTTATAGATTTTTAAGATATGAAAAATCAAAATAACAAGTGACTTATCTGTGTTTTTAGACTGGGTCATAGCATAGAATCTAAGTTTTCTGACTCACTGAGCATTATGCTAGGTGTCTGACCTTTCTTCCCTATGTCTCTTTTAGCATACAAGCATCAGAATTGATCTTGACCATGCACAAATCATTGTTCAAATGACTTATTTGATAACAGAAATATTGGTGACCTGAAATAGCATAGTATCTTATCTATAGTTTATTCAACCAGTTTTTTCTTCAGTTCACTAAAGGAGGCCATAGTACACTGACAGAATATTCAAATTTAGACCAAATCCTTGGCATGTTAATAGTTTATAATTTAAACCAAAAAGTTAAGCCTCTTACCATTATAAATTTGAAAACCAGTACCTATAAAATCATCTCAAAAATCATATGCAGATTAATAGAAAACATTAATCACCACAAAGTAGAAACATTACCTAGAGAGAGAAAGGATTTTCTTTACTACTTTAAGTGTATGGTCCTCATTTTTTTTTTCTACTACATCATACAAACACTCTTCTGGCCTCCATCAAAAAAAGAAGGAAAGGAACTTATGACCTTGTGCTTTTGAGAAGGTGAAAGCAATGCTAACATATTGTATTTTCCCCATTTTGGGAAATAAAGAAATTAAACAACTCTTAGAGCTAGAGTGAACTGACCCTGGGCAGTGCACACTCAGAGCAGCGCCAAGCAGCGTCTTAGTGCTTCATTGTGTCATCTTTATGGGTCCTGGACATGAAATCAGCATCTGAAATGGATGAATGTTAGTCATTGCTTTTTTCTCTTCCCTATCCTGCACTTCAATGGAGGTAATAATAAGCTAAGAAGTAAGAAGCAGGCAAAGCAGGAGTCATGGTCACCCATCCACAGATGGATTTATCCATTCCTTGCCATCTAAATCAGAGATTCTTAATGAATTTTTAAATATATATGTATATGTACATATATATTTACAACTGTATTTCTATATAACTGATTTCCTTGATAATACTGTGTATTTCATTTAATGTTTTTAAAAACATCATTCTGATTCATAAGCTTCCTCAGCCTGCCAGAGAGATTCTTGGAAGAGAAAAGGTTAAGAACCCCTAGTTTTAAGTTGATCATATTTTCGTGTAATATTGAAACTGCCACTTGTCTCCTATCTTATTTATTTTAGGTCCAGCCTAATTTCTTTTGGACTGTGGAATATATATTTATTTGCAAGGTTGAAATGCTAATCTTATATATCAGGTGCCTTAAACTTGGTGTAACAGTCAATCAACAACCACTTAAGTGCCTCCCAGCACTGCACTGAGCACTGGGGATACAGAGAAAGGCAAAAACAGCCCCTGCTCTCAAGGAGCCATGTGTATGCAAGATGGCAGGGAAGGGATGCAACAGAGGCCCCTTACAGAGGATGGGATTTGCACTGAGCCTTGAAGGAAGCCAGGTGTCTAAGGAGAGGAGGGAGAACCCTTTAGGCGTGGGGGACAACCAATGAGCAGGTAGAGTCAGGAGTTGGAATGTCCTCAGTAAGAACAGGAAGGCCAGAGTATGTAGAGAGGAGTGACACATAAGAACACTGGGAAGGCTGGAAGGGGCCTTAAAAGCCAAACAGAGGATTTTATATTTGACCCTGAAGGTAATCCGGAGCCGCTAGAGGGTATTGGGAGGTTGGGGAATGGTCAGACTTGTATTTTGGGAAGATCATATTGACAGCCAACTGGAAAATGGATTGGAGTAGGGAGAGACTCCTGAAAGTGATAAGGTACCACTGGAGTTTATTAAGTAGGGAGGTATGGAGAGTATGACAGAGTAGGAGTATGCTACCCATTGAGGATTGAGTTCAGGCAGATTATCAGTGATCTAGTGAGGGAGACAGATGATTAAACCACTGCCCTCCCTCATTGTCCATCCTTGTGACAGTTTGAGTTCTGTGAGGTACAGGAGGCCTGAGACAACAGTCAGGAGCTGGTAAAGGAGCACCTTGGAAAAGTTCAGATGAGGCAGCAGTAGGCAATTGAAGTTGGGTCTGATCCAGGGACATACTCTGGGGAAAGCCCCTGGGACAAAGAATGAAGCTTGATGTTTGCATCCAGGGCTGATACAGGGATTTCTTGGAAGTTTCAAGAGCAAGAAGACCACAAGTAGGTGGGCTATGTCTGTGGCTGATATAAGGGTCCATGGAAATTTATCTGGAAACTTCAAATATAATTATCTTTCATATGAGAAGATGCATATTTCCATTTAAATAATTTATCTTTAGTTGATAATAGAAAATATAATCATCAAATCCTTTTTTTCTTTAGCAAAATACATGTATGAATACTCCTTTCATTGTTTTTCATAGCTATCAAAGCAAAGACATTCTGACTATTTTTGTTGACCAAAAGTTGGCATGGCAAGGGGCCCACAGTGAAAAGAAAAGGAGGTTATACATCCAAAGGATGATGGATTAAAAGGAGGGGTGAAGGCAAGACAACCCAATGTCTCAGAGATTCACTTAAAGATAAGAAAGATAAGACTTGTAAAATAGTCAAAAGGTCTTATTGATAGGAGAAGCAAACCACTCCAGTATCTTTGCTAAGAAAACCTCAAATGGAGTCACAAAGAGTTAGACATAACTGAAACCACTGAACAACAAAAATTGAAGAGAACAAAATTGTTTAGAGGGGATTAAAGGAGCTTAAGAGAAAATTAAATTGAAGATGAAGAAGAATTAAACATAAACAGAACTTTAGGGATGATGGTAGGGGACCTATGGTAGGCCTGCAGTTTAGAGTTTCTGAGTTTCTGAGTTTCAAAACTTGAGGTCCTATACCCAAGATCTAGTTGCCTCCTCAGGGCTTTGTTTATATGAGGGAAGTTAGGTTTAGCCTGGAACTCATGAAAGATTCCCACGAAAAGGGGGGAAAATCTTTTTTTGTCCTTGGTTCTAACTCTGATAAGGGAGGATTTTTAAAATCCAATATCCAGGAATGTCCTGCAGACAAAGCTCGTCATATTCTTTTGGGAACTAACGATCTGAAAACACTAAAAAGGCAACTCAAAACTGGCTGCTCATTAGTAACTTTGTAAAGCAGATATGTAGAGTCTTCATTTGAAAGGCTTATGCATACTAGGCAATGTGAAGGTTATTTTGCCCATTTCCTGTGGTTTATGTTGTATTTCTGGGTCTTAGAGCAGTACTGATATGAGACTGTGGGAACAACGCTCAGTCCGGATACTGGCTACTGATAAACAAAATTTGCTATGTACATCTATGACCTGAGTAGATCCAGTTTTCCTTTGTTTTTTATTTTGGTAATAGTGTGTCACCCCATTGAGATGTTATGTTTATGGTTCCAATGTGTCTCTTTTCTCCTATGAATCATGGAAACTTTTTTTGAGGTTTTCTGTAGGAATTCAGCAATTGCATCACATATGCTAAGCTGTTCTTTCAGACCAATGTAATCTCTCAGTTCATTCTGTACCTGCATTGACGTGGTAATGAGACAGATCTTCATAACTCTATTCTGGCTAGCTACAGACTCTTGTTGCAAATAAGGGAGTGGGGCTGGGAAGAAAGTATCAAGTTGGAATTCCTCTTTTATTTGCTTGATAGTGTTGTGTTTGCTGTCTTTTCACTTATAGTTATTTGGATCATCTTAGTGTTCCTGTGTTTCACAGATAAATACCAGACTTTATCCATTTCTGCCTTTAATGCTTTTGTTTAATTCTTGAGTAAACTAAAATCCTGAACGTTCATCATCAGCATTCATTACCCTTTCCGGGAGCCATGAAACCACTTGGTTTCTCTAAGTCAACTAAGAACTGGGGCACTTGTAACACTGAGAACTCCGAAGGTAATTATTAATAAACAGAAGATTAAGTTGAATTTCTGGCAGATGCTTGAATTAAATAACATAATTTTACCATATTTTGAATTACTTTAAACTGACTGCTTTCTCTGGGTCAAAAACAAAAGGACAAAATTTTCATGAAGTATGAATGGGAGTCTTAGAGCAACTGCTTTCTGGAGATAATATTTAAAATTCCATTCTGAATCAGCCATTAAAATTCCACTTTTTGATAGAAGTGGACAGAAGACACATTGTAAATGGAAGATGCTTCAGTCTGTGAACTTGAATTCTGCACATCTCTTCAAAGAGGGAAGTCATCAACATTAGCTCAGGACTAGCGACAGTCACTAGGAAGCATCACTAAGAATCACTTCCATGTTTCTCTGATCCAAAAGATGATAGAGGGAGA